GTTCTTCCTCCCACCTATCCCCTCCTCCCACCTCAAGCCGCACCTCCTACCGACCAACCTCATCCCACCCCCTTGACCTGTCCGTCCTCCCTGGACTGACCTATCCCCTTCCTAACTCCCTACCTACACTCACCTTTACTGGCTCCATCCCCGCCTCTTCGACCTGTTTGTTTCCTCTCCACCTATCCTCTCCTCTATCCCTCTTCTATCTGCCTCCCACTCTCTCCCTATTTATTTCAGAACCCCCTTCCCCTCCCCCTTTTCTGAAGAAGGGTCTAGGCCCGAAACGTCAGCCTCTCTGCTCCTATGATGCTGCTTGGCCTGCTGTGTTCATCCAGCCCTGCACCTTGTTGTCTCAACCAATTCAGCATCCTGTTCCCACTTTCTCCCCATACCTTTTGATCACTTTAGTCCTAAGAATTGTATCTAACTCCTTCATGAAAACATTCAACGATTTGGCATCAACTGCTTTCTGTGGTGAATTCCACAGGCTCACCATTCTGGGTAAAGGAAATTTCTCCTGATCAAGTGCCCTAAATTAGGTCGATATGTGCTGACATTGCCAAGTGCACCTGATTTTATGGGTTTTGGACTAATTTTACACACAGGAAAGGTTTATCTAAAATTTGTTCGCTATTCAAGATCCCAATATGGGCTTGTCCTATATATATAAAATGTTGATCCATACACAGAATGTAATTACTGCACCAGCATGGGAGCAAACAAATCTAAAGTGAGCGACGTCCAACAGAACATTATCAAAATACGGGTTTTTCAGGGGAATTAAAATGAAATAATTCCAGGAATGTTCAGCCTGATTAACACCTTGAGGACCACTTTAGTGCCACACAGTGTGTGAATTTATCCTGGACAGTCTTGCCGCTCCACACAAGAAACTACACAAACTCCAAACCTTATCGACTGCCACCAGTTTCCAGCGTAATCATCTACCGCCGATAATAAAAAGATTCATGAAGAAAAGCGAACCGCCTGAATGAACCCGCCGATCGAGCGAAGCCTGCGCACGTCTCTGAGGGCCTCCCGTCTCCCCTGTCGCTCGGATAACGACAAGCAGGACAGCCCAGTGCGGTGCCGGTTCAAATTTCTCATTGTCCGCGACGCCTTTACGCCGTCGGTTCAGATGGCGAGAGAAAATGTAGATTATCGGCGGAATTGCCGGCGGCAGTTTTTTTTTGCCGTCGGTGTTGTGCAGGCGCCCGCGGAGGGTCCTTCGTTAGCCGGTCGCTCTGAGCATGGCAGTCGGTGGAGGAGAGGGGGGAGTTTGATCAAAGTCCTGATGCCCGTTCCGGGCTCGGGGTTGGGTTGGGGGGAGCCCGACTGGACATGGCGATGAAACCGAGGCGGCGACACAGGGTGGGAGTTCTTTCTGTTTTGTCATTGGTGCCAAACTTTCCCCTGTACTGTTTTGATGAAGGGTCACTGGACTCTTTATCTCTCTCCACAGATGCCGCCAAATGTGTTGAGTTTCTCCAGCAGTCTTTGTTGTTTGAGATCTCCAGCGTCCGCTGTTATTTGTTTTTATTATTGACCAAACTTTACGTTTGGTTGAGAGCTGTAGAATCTGTGTAGAGAGCCGCTGAGTTTTCCCAACATTTTATGCTCTTAACTCGATTCCCAGCATCCGCAGTACGTCTTTGTTTACATTGGGTTGATTGCGAAAAATAGTTTTAAAGTAGTGATAATGAGACTCGTTAACTATCTTAATTTGGACAGTAGTAACAATGGTTTAAATAGTTTTGAGGAGTTAAATAGTTTTCTCGATCAAAAATGCCCCTGTCTCATTAGTGAGGTGGATCGAATGTCTGTTGAGGAGATGTGGACAGTGATCTAATGTTTAGGTTAGGTATAGGAAAAATCAAAGAGCAATCTGGGGTAGAAAGACTTAATTGGAGACAGGGCCAATTTCAGTGACAGGTGAATGGGAATCAATTAGTAAGCAAAACTACAACAGAATAAGTAGCTGCCTTTAAAGATAGTTTGGTTACGGTTCATACTGCACAGCCACTCACCCTTGAAATCGCAACTCCTCCAAAAATGCCTGGGAAAATTCAAAATAAGCAATAGTGAAAAAAAGCTAATCCCTGTTGAAAGTGCAAGTGACAGAACCTGTGAGAAGCAGCTCCTGCAATCACAGATTGTTTCTCTCCCATGCCTGCTGATGATAATAGTTGGATCAATTGACTTTCAGGATATCAGCAGTAGACATGGAACAGTGAGAAAGCTGGAACCCGAGAACTGAGGGAAGGGAGGTGGGGAGGAGTGGCTAAGAGGATGCAAGTGGGTGAGAGTCTATGAGGAGGAGATGGGTGCTAAGGCAGAAGGAGGTGGCTCAGCAAAGGATAGAAGAGCGCATGGAGGAGAGAACGGTCTTAAATCTGCTGTGGTTGGTTTGCTTGCTGAGTTGGTTCATTAATTTGCGGACATTTCATTACCCTGTTGGGTAACGTCATCAGTGCAGCCTCCGATGCAGAAGTTAATGCTTCAAACTAATGAACCAGCTCGGCAAGTGAACCAACCACAGCATCCACAACCCAAGCTACAAATCTACTCAAGAATATTAGGTCTTAAATCTGTCAACAAAGAATATTCATCTAACTAAAAACTGGGAAAGATTGAAGTCAGTGAAATACTAAACATCTTGAAAACAAATCAGTGGAGTTACTAGCTTAAGTCTGCATAAGTTCAGGAGCCATTTGATTGAAAACATGTAGAATTACTATTGTTACTAACACAGTTATTTGGATAATTTAATAATGAACAGGATAATTTCAAAGAAAAGATTTGCGTTTGTGTTATCACAACTCAGAATGTTTCACATGCTGTGAATTACTAGAGATGTGCAGTGGCTGTTAATGATAAACATGTAATTGTTCTGCATATATCAAGATCCCAAGTTATTAAAGATGAATTGCAATTTTATAGTGTTATTATCCTCTTGGGACATTCTACAGTGCTTTACTGTTAATGTTGTAATGAAGAAAATATAATGAAGTCAATAGTAATGGAATTTAAAGAGGTTTAGGACTAGGGAGCATAACCTGAAAATTAGAACAGAACTTTGAGTGGTAAAAGTAGAAACCAAAAGATGGTAGAAGTTTGAAACTCTTTTTGTACAAGTAAATGATAGATCAACATCAATGCTAAATTAATAAAAAATGAAAGAACTGTGGATCCTGTAAATCAGGAACAAAAACAAAGTTGCTGGAAAAGCTCAGCAGGTCTGGCAGCATCTGTGAAGAAAAAATCAGAGTTAACGTTTTGGGTCCCGTGACCCTTCCTCAGACCCTTCTTACAAAGGGTCACCGGACTCGAAACGTTTACTCTGATTTTTTTCTTCACAGATGCTGCCAGACCTGCTGAGCTTTTCCAGCAACTTTGTTTTTATTGTTGTTGTTAGTGCTAAATTAATTGTTAATCTTAAAATATGAGATGCTGTGTAAAGGATAGAAACTGCCTGTTTAAATTTTCCAACATTGTGCATATGCAATGAAAACACATTAGTTACAACTTCAGTCTGCAAGGGTCATATTTAGGCTGATGGTTTGTTATGTGTAGAAGTGTGCACTTTGACTAAGAGGAAGCTTTTGTTGTTAGCTCATGCCTTTTGTTTTCTTGTACCAAATTAAGTACTCTTAAATCTAGTAAATTAATGCTTCCCTTGTATGTTGTGGCTTTAAGTTTAATGGAGCAATTATGATTCTTGGGATATTGATGAACTCTTCTAATTGTGCTTCTGAGAAAGGCCAAATATCCTATGTTAAAACAAGTACAGAAGGTAACGTTACTAGATGATTAAATCTTCTAATATAGGGGCCAATGAGAATGAGAAAGGAGTCCCGGAAATCCAAAAAGTAGCCCTCAAAGAAAAATGTTTTGAACCCCTTGTTTTGGTATATTTCTGGTAAATTCTCTGGACAGGGAAGGAGGGAGAAACAAGGAGAGATTCATTGATGACAGGAGATATAGGAAGCAAGAAGAAGCTGTACAATGTGGTCTAATATTAATAATAACGGTGAGAGCCAGGCTGAACATAGAAGGTTCAGAGGGAAAATGAAAAATGGTGCAACTGTAAAGATTTAATATTGCTATTTTATCTTCTTCTACCACCTCTGGCAGTGCATTCCAGGCACTTACCACTATCTGTGTAAAAAAAAAACTGCACACATCTTCTTTAAACTTTGTCCTTTTACCTTAAACCTGCATTGCTTAGTAAATAACATATCTAAAACAAAAACAGAAATTGCTGGAAAAACTCAGCATTTGTGGAGAGAAAGCAGAGTTAACGTTTCGGGTCTAGTGACCCTTCTTCAGAACATTTCTAACCTGGGAAAAAGACTCTGATTATCCATTCTATAAGAGCAGCAAAGAGATAGTATGTGAAGAGACTGGCAGCTATAACGCAAAAGGGAATTTGAAACTCATCTATAAAAGTTTCAATATTAAAAAGATGGTAAGAGGAGTTGGAGGCCAGTTATTTACCAAGGTGGGTTCTACACATGGAGGTAGAGAGCATGGCTACAATGCTAAATGAATGCATCGCATCTGACTTTACCCAGGAAGAAAATGCAGTGAATGCCTGGTCAAAGAGGAGGCTGTTGAATTACTAGATGGGTTAAAAAAATTGATATAGATATTTGAAATGTTGCTGGTACTTTAAAGTTCAAAAGTCACCAGGAGCAGATGGGATACATCCAAGAAACCACAGCAAAGGAGGGATGTAAATTCTGGAGTTACTGGCTATCATCTTCCACCTTTCCTTGTATACAGTGGTTATTCCAGAGGACTGGGAATTAACAAATTGTACATCCTTGTTTAAGGAAAGACGTAAGGATCAATCCAGCAGCAACACGCTAATCAGTTTAACCTCAGTAGTAGGAAGGATTTTAGAAATGATAATCTGAGACTAAATTAACAGTCACTTAGAAAAATATAGATTCATTAAGGAAAGCCAGTACAAATTTGTTAAAAACAAATCATGTTTAACTAACTTGTTTGAGATTTGTAAAGGAAATAATTGTTGGGTTTGATGACATGTACTTGGACTTCTGTTTGATAAAATCTATGTATTAGATTTGCCAGCAAAGTTGAATTTCATGATATAACAGGAGAAAGTATGAACGCAAAGTTGGCTGAGTGATGGGAAACAAAGAAGAGTGGTAAATGATTGTTGTTTTTTGGACTGGAGGAAAATATATAAGGGTGTTTATTAGAGCTCAACATAATATCACCGCTTTTCTTGATGTATTATAATTACTCAACTTGAATGTATAGGACACGATTTCAAAATTTGCAGATGACATAAAATTTGGAAATATTGTTAGGACCAATGCATAACTTTAGATTTCTAAGTTATGTTTTTGTATTTTTTGTGTAAAGGAGGAGGAAAATGTGGTTTTAGTTTCATTACAGAATTAATCTTGTACGCTGGGTGATGAGAAGTCTGGGAGCCTCTTTATATATGTGCATTTTTAATGAGGTTTTAAAACCCTTGAAGTGATGAGATGGAGGGTTAGTAGTTTAGTGCATAAATTAAAAGTAGAAAAAATACTGCGCAACGGAGGTCCGGGTAAAAAAAAAAACAGGCACAGGAAGTTCCAAAAGGAAGTGAGTCTCTGTATGTCAGAGCGTTGAGGCAGGAGTATTAACCTCTCTAATAAGAAATCCTGCATGACTGCTAGAAATTGAGGTTTAGGGAACTTAACATGGAGTTTAAGTAACAGTGAGTTTAGTTTGCACTTTGTTTTGGGTCTTGGGGGAAATACTACTTGATGAAAAAGAGAAAAAATATGTTGAGAATGCACGTACATTTACTGTAAAGAAACCGGTTGCAGCTGTGCCAGCCTGAGAGAGCTATCTTGTGGAGATGGTGCTAAATGTTAGCTGGGGTTTTGGTGTTTCTAAGAATATGGGAGGGATAAAGGAAGAGTGCGAGTTTGAATCTTTTTCTGGTGTTTGTAATAAAATCTTTCCAACCACTTTGTCTAGCAAAATATAGTTCATGTTTTTCTTGCTTAATAAACATGTTATTCTTTGTGTTAAAAGTACACTGGTGGACTCTTGTCAATGTGTTCATTAACTGATCTTCATGGTTTTGAAAAATATAGTTAGAGTCTACTAAGCCGGAAATTACTCTGGATCTTGCTTGTCCAGTATTAACATCAGCTGGATCATAACAGTATTGTGAACTGTGAGAAGGATAGAGACAGACATCAAGATGACATAGATAGGCTAGTGGAAAGGCTGAACGCATGAGAGAGGAAACCTAACCGTCAATGACTCCTTCTGATAGAAAGCAAGAGGAGAGGCAATTCAAACTAAAGGGTACAATTCTAAAGGGGTGCAAAAGCACAGGG